TACGAGTAACGAGTAACGAGTATGTGTGTGTGGGCCCTCCTAAGATTCTTCTCTATCCATCAATTGCAAGTGTCCGATTTGGTGTAATACCAACTGTTATACTGTTAGCCTGTCACCGCCAGAGTTATTGGCGTGGGGGAGCTCCCTCTCCGCTCTCTGTGCTCTCTGCGCTCCCTGCGCTCCCAGCTCCCTGTGCACTAAACATAAATTTCATTGCAGTTTAACAAGAACAAACGAGTTTTGGCCAAAACTCAAATTATATGCAAGTACATGAATCGGGAATGTATCTACACACGCACACACGCACACTAATACACCCTACACTCTACACCCTTTAACTGTAATACACCCCCTGCACACCCCTGCACACCCCTGCACACCCCTGCACACCCCTGCACACATCCTTCGTGTACGCAGCTGGCAACGCCTTGCCTTAGTGTTGTGTAGAACAAGCCTTCGAATTCCTTTGGGGGGTTTTGCCAGAGTGCAATGTCTGTCAACACTAATTGTTGGCTGCTGTTCCTGCTGCTGCTGCTGCTGTCTGCTTTTGGCTACAATAATGTCATGTGCTCTCGTGGATGTATTCCGATGTATGTACTATGTCGGGTGTCGGTGGGCTGTGAGCTGTGAGCTGTGCGCTGTGAGCTGTGCGCTGTGGGTGTGTGGTATGGCGTGTAAATCCAGCTTACTAGTACTACATATACGGAGGAGTACTGGCACACCCCTTGTACTGGCACGGGCATTAGCTTTGCTCTTGCCATCAGCCCATCAGCCCATGAGGCTCTGGTGGCCAGGCCTCGCCTCGTCTCGTCTCTCTGCTGATGCCTCAATTTCGGGTGGCGAGAACAACACAACACAAATACTAATACTAGGACTAAGACAAATACTGCAAGTTGTACTACATGAGAAGCTTCTCGTACTAATACTAATACGACCCCAAGCCAGAGTCTGTGCCCCTGCCTGAGCCCCTGCCTGAGCCCCTGCCTGAGCCCCTGACTGAGCGTTGTGTATAATTAAATTGGGTCAGAGCAGTTAACTCACTTGTCTTTGGATTATGTTTGCATTTTACTTAATCCTCGGTCCCGGCCTACGGCTCAAGACTGCCAGCCAGACTGCCTGCCAGCCAGCCACCTGGCAGGAGTTGCACACCTGTTTTTCGGTTGGGCTGGCCCCCGGACTCGTGTGGACACAGCAAATTGCTTTGGCAGCAATCCACTCCACTCCGCTCCACTCCACTTCACAGCCCCCCTTAAGCTGGCCAAAATCAAATTATTGTCTCGGTTCGGTTCTCTGGTTAGCCGCTCAGTCCCCGTCCCAACGCCCCACCCCACCCTGAAATATTGTCTTTGGCGAGTTTATTAAAACTTTTCACTGACCACCACCAGCAACGAGATACCTAAGAGATGTCTCCACACACACCGCCAGACTCCACACTCCACTCCCAGCTCTAGCTCCAACTGGAACTATTTGATGGGCAAAAGACTTTTTAGCTTTTGAAGTAAAAACTTGTAACCTGTTGCTCTCTCTCTCTTTCCCACTGCAGACCACGCCCATGCCCAGCGCCTGCTTTCCCTTGGAACAGTTACAGAAGTTTCCCTCGGAGTTGGCAGCGGCGCCTCTCCAGCTAAATTGGGTAATTAATTGGGAATGTCTTCGGGCAGTCGGGCAGTCTCGCCGCTCTATGGCACCCTGGGGAATATATTCTCTGTTGCTGGCATTATGGTTTTGGTTTTGGCAACATTTTCCGATCGGGGGAATGGGATGGACGACAACCTTTTATCTTGTGGCACGCCAAGGCGATGCATTTACGGATGGAAATATGTAACCAATCCCAAAGGGGGGAGCCCCACCCCTGGCAATCCCCATCTAATTGTTTCAGCTGGATAGTTAGGTGACCGCTGGACTGAAGTCCGAGAACGAAGTGACCCACAGAAATGAAACCGAGAAGAAGCAAAAGCAAAGGCAGAGGCAGAGGCAAAGGCAGAGGCAAAGGCAAAGGCATTGAATTCCTGTGACAGACATGGACACAAGAATGTGTCGATTCGAATTAATGCTGTACATAAATGTGTACATAAATATCTAAATACATATGTACATGCACACATACATACATATGTACACGTGTATATTGTGTATGTTTTTCGGTGCATTTATTGGAAATATGGGAGAATTAGGAATGTTTCCGATGAATGCCAAAGGACTTGGCCATAATCACAACTAACAAAACGAATAAGCTAGCAGACACACAACACACACACACACACACACACACACACACACACACACACACACACACACACACATAGACACCAACAATAAGCCGCATAACATTGCTCAAACCAGAGAGCTTCTCTTCTTTTTGGGCCCTTATCCTCATCGCCCAACTGAACCCAAAGGCATGTACTTTGCATCCCCTCTAGGCCTTGCCCCATCCGAGTCTGAGTCTGAGTCGGAGTCTCAGTCGGAGCTGCTCTGCCACACAATTGCAGACAGAACTTGAAAGCAGAACAAACTTGTCTAATCCAATGAAAACAAGCAGCTCAGCTGCGATTGATAAGGGAAAACTTGAACTAACTAGGCAACTGATTTATACCCTAACCAGAGCTACCCCCACTCCTACCCCTACCTTTACCCCTATCCTTGTGCCACTCTCTCTCTCTCTCTCTCTCTCTTCCCTGTCCTTTCCTTTCGAAGATTCAGCCTGACAACCGCTTAGCTCATTTGACTGCTGCCAGGACGACATTCGAAATGATATTGTCCAGTTTGGCTTTAAATCTCTGGGATTTGCTTCGTAAATAGAGTCGTGCGGCAGCAGCATCATTGGGTGTATGTGTGTGTGGGGTCTAAAGTGCGGCCTGAGTCGAGGTGACAAAATTTTGCCAAGTGCAATTTACAGTGTAATTTTATGCATAATTTTCGTTATGACAGTTGCGGTCGACAGGCCCCACACACACACAGACTCGGAGTGGGGGATGTATTTACAGTTAGATGCATAGATAGATGTGGTCACAATATGCACATATACAGACATATGTATGTTTATATCCTTTGGTTATATGCAATGCCGAATGCCTGATGCCAGCAGGCAGCCTCCATGCCACTCGTAATTTATGATATCTCCAGCCACTTCAACTGAAGCCGCACCCACACAAAGTTCTGCCTGCCCCCCAAAAGAGGGGCTGGTTGGCTGGCGGGGGGGAGCTATAGAGAAATCAAAATCTCAATACTCGTAATTACAAAGTGCCAGGCAAAGGCGGAGCCTGAAAACCGATGAAACCGACAAACCCAAACCCAAAACACAAAACCCAAAACCCCAGCCCCATTGTCGCTCTCTGTTTATATCCCCTAAATCCTTTTTAATGCCGCGCCGCAGCCTTTGATTTTTGCAATATCAATTAGCGTGAAGCGCTGCAGGAGACTCCCAACCCCCCAGCCACCAGCCCATAAAGATTTACAGCTCCTGATTATTTCATTAGGCAAAAGTAAATTTAAACGCCAGCCTCACGTTAAATTTATGTTAATTTTCGCAGCCAAAAATGGGGAAATTCCCCTAGGATGCGGAACTGGGTGGGTAGGGTGGATGGGGTAGGGGGATGGGGGGGGCAACAGGCGTAAATGCGGAATGTGAGCAGTCAAAGAAGATGAAGATGTTCAACGCAAATGAAAGCCAGATAAAGATAATGCTCTTAATTCGGAATGGGATGAGCAAACACAAGAGCAAAAGCAGCAAGGAGCCAGGAGCCAGCAGCCAGGAGCCAGGAGAAGGAGCAGGAGAAAGTGAGAACTGAGAAGAAGTGAGAAGAGAATCTTGTTTTTACAAAGATTACACCTTCAGATTGTGTGTGTGTTTTTTTTTTGTTGTGTTCTGGCGCGGCGCGGTGGGACTGCTAAACCAACTACCCCGGTTGGTGTGGTGTGTGTTGTGTCTTATTCCTTAAAGGGTTTTTCGTTGCAGGCTTGAAATTAATTTAAATTTTAAACTTTTCTCCCTACCTTCACAGAATAAATAGAACAATTCCAGATGGGTTTCTGTTTTGGTATTTTGCTGGCTTCATTTGCGAGCAGTCTTGCCACCAATCACAACAATATACAGCCAGAAACTTCCCCCCATTCGGTTGAGGGTTCAAAATTCCATGGAACTGAATTCGAACTGCTGCTCGGACGCTGCCAAATGCAAGGATACTCGGAATTGCAGTATCTGCATTTGGTCTCTCTGCTTACACACACACACACACACAGGGACACACACATACACACATGTGCCTGGCCATGCCATGCCTAAAATTACTGAACAATCCAATCTGGGGGTATGGCCCCCTGGGCATATCTAGTTCTGTCTGTTATTCTCATTAATTAATAGAAAATTTGCTGATAGGCCCGAGACCAAAACAAAAACAATGAAACACCGAAACACCGAAAACAAAATTAAACAGACACAAGCAATGGAAATGCAGCCAGAGAGAGAGAGAGAGGGAGAGAGAGGGAAAGCAGGTGCCGCTGGGCTTATCCCAGAGCTCGCACAGATCAATGACGCAGCTATCGCGCCCCGCCTGACACAGCTTGGCACTTGGCCACACAATACACAGAACACAAAGAGCACAGAGCACAGATACAAAGATACAAAGATACAAAGATACACACATGTGTCGCGACACTCCGATGCTGCGCTGGACGATCAATGGCAAACATCTGGTCGATGGTGGATGGTGGCTGGTCGATGGTGGGGCACTGGCTATCTGCTACAGCCTAATGACGCCGGCAGCTAATTAGATAAAGGCCAAGCCAAGCCAAGCCAAGCCAAGCGTTTGCATACATTACATTGCCCTGGCTGGCTGGCTGGCTGGCTGGCTGGCTAATTATTCCCCAAGGAGCACACAGCAAGAAATCACAGCGGATCAGAGCGATGCGATCGGACCATGATGTCCCGACTCTGTGACTCTGGGTACTCGGTGGGAAACACGGTGTCAGTGAAGCGTGGATCAGTCGTCAGTGCGCGTGAGAGTGCCGCCAATATCGATTGCCATAAATATTTGGACACTTGCCGGGCTCCGCTCATTTGCAGTCATGGAGTTCTTTGCCACGGGTGCCTTTCAGCAGCTGTACAGTGAGCTGGACGATGAGTGCGGCGGCGTCGGAGGCGGAGGAGGAGTCTGCTCCGATCTGATACTGACCGCCAGTGCGGATGTTTTGGCTGGCGGCTTCCGATTACGGCAATGCTGCCATGGAGCCGACTGGCCAGCAGTGCGACCAGCTGCCAGTGGACACCGAATACTACGGCATCATCACCTTGGACAGCAACAACAACCGAAGCAACAACCGGAGCAGCGACTACGACTACGACTACGACTACATTGGGCATGCACCCTACGCGGCAGAGGAGCATGGATTGTTCTTTGATTTCAGCGATCAGGAGCTGTCCGGCTGCTCCACCTCCACGTGCACCACCGGATCGCGTGCTTCCCCAGAGCTGAGCGAATGGGAGCAGCGGCTGCTGGACCACTTTGTGGAGATACCCGAGCTGATAGACTTCCTGCCCGAGCGGACGCCCCTCTGCACGGACATGTGCGACGACTTTCTCGAGGAGAGCAACAGCAATCTGCGCCTGGCTGCCCCCGTCTCCTGCCACTGCCACTCCACTGCAGCATCCCCAGCAGCATCCCCAGGCTCGACTGCCACGGACACTGCTGCCGTGCCACAGCTCAGCCAAAATGCGGCGGGCGAGCGGGGCTACCTGTGCACCTTCGGCAACTGCGAGAAGCTCTACGCGAAGCCCGCCCACCTCAAGGCCCACCTGCGCCGGCACCTGGGCGAGAAGCCGTACGCCTGCAGCTGGCCGGAGTGCACCTGGCGCTTCTCCCGCTCCGACGAGCTGGCCCGCCACCGCCGCTCCCACTCGGGCATTAAGCCCTACAAGTGTGACTACTGCGCCAAGTGCTTCGCCCGCTCCGACCACCTCACCAAGCACCGCAAGGTGCACGAGCGCCGCCTCCAGGCAGCCACGCGCCTCGGCAAGCTGCTGCCCGCCGATGTCTACGCCGTGCGGCCGGGCCGCAAGCGAAAGAACCAGCTCTGATCCTCAGTCAATAAAATTATGTACCTTAAACTGTTGAGGAGGCATGGGGGAGGCCAGGGGAAATTCGCAACGAAAATGCATTAATTTTTGTTTGTTGGGTTTTTTTTTGTAATTAATTAATTAAAGAAATTAATCTGCGCACTGACCAAGATACGAAATAAAAATTATTCATCCCAGTAGGTTTTGATGTTCGTGTCACATTTTTGGCTGTAGTGTCAGTCCCTCCTCCCGCCAGCCACGCCACAGCCACAACCCCTTCCCTTGCCAGCCCCCTCCCTCAGTTTAGTTTAGCTAGCCTCAGTGAGAACAACATTTTGGGCAAACAAAAATCAATAAACAAATTCCAAAATATTCCATAAATAATTTTATTTAATTTAATTTGTAATTTTTGGTTCCGTCTTTGGATCAATTGAAATTTGCAGTTAAACAAAAGAAAGGTGCAGTAAGAATGGCCCACCGCAACGAGGAGACTTTGGCTGGCAGGCCAGGGCCCTGCTGGGCCACCAATTGGGGGGCTCTGCAGCTGATGCCAACAGTTTCCTGTCCGGAGACCTCGTCCCATAGGCAGCGCCCCGCACGAACGCAGCATCGAAATTGGTCTTCGGGTGCAGCAGCGCGAGGTCTGCAGCTGACGCCTACGAGATCCTGTCCGGACAGCCTCTGGACCTGCAATCGCCCACAGGAAATGCTCTCGGGCCGCGACTATCGTCAGCAGCGATCCGGTTTGGGCTTAGACGAAGCATATACCTCGTCAGCTGGCTGCCAGTTTGGGCACCAAGCTGCGAACTGGTCACCAAACCCTTCGACCACCGACTTGCCCCACGAGTGCAAAACTTCGCGCATTCGGACACAGATTTGGGGCGCCAGTTCTTGGGCTCAGTCTTCAGGTTCATCGCGACTGCAGAATGCAAATTCCAACTCTGGGAGGCAGCTCTCACCGGCAGCTGGCTCGGGCCACGGCGAGGAGACAATCGGCTGCCCCATTGCCGCCTGCAACGCGACGTTCTCGTGCTCCAATCTGCTGGCCCACCTTCTCGACGAGCACCCTTCGCTGGGCAAGCGGGATCTGAGGTATGCCCACGACTCGGAGATCAGTGAGCTGGCCCTTGAGCCCCGACAGCTGACGCCCTGCCGAACCGTGTGCCTGGGCGTGGTTCTGTTCTGTGGCAAGAAGCGAGTGGAGGAGGAGCAGGCAGTGGCCAGTGGCCAGTGGCAGTCTGCTGCAGGAACTAGAGGCGAAGCATTTCAGGGAGTACTTGCCGGTGCTCGTGCTGGGCCAGCACACATTCCTGGACTGTCTGCCGGAGGATGACAAGGAGCAGCAGCCAGCCCAAGGAGCGTACCTCGTCTGGGCACAGAGTGCAGGCAGCACGACGCGGCCACTGTACGCCAGCATAACGGCCTTCAACGGGGACATGACGCAGTCGCGCAGCTGCCTCCGACGGGTGGCCCCTGGCGGCGGCTGGGGCTGCTGCGCCACGGAGGATGGCATTGAGCAGCCGCTGCTCCTAACCGACACGGACATGGCGGTGCTCAGGGATACGCGGCACAAGGCGATTCACCTCGAGGTGATCATCCATGAGCAGCCAACATTGTCGGAGGCCAGTGGGACAAGTCATCTCAGCCTGACCAGAGGAAGAGGATGATCTCGAGAGAGAGAGAGTGAAGAAGGGTGAGTAGGGAGGAGGGCTGCTTTTTTTTTTACCTTTTTGTTGCCCTGTCTTATTGCACAATTTACGAGTCAGCGCGAGTCCCTTTGTACCTTTGCATACAATCCACAATTCACGGGGCAACTTGCATCCTAATGGCATTCACTTTACGCAATCGCTGCCAACAACCACAGGAGTGCACAGGTGGGGGGGAGCAGCACCGAAGGAGTGCCCTGGCCCCGTTTGCTGCTTTGTTGAAGGCGCCTCCTGCACAACAATTATTGCCCCCCCCCCATCTCATTAAGGGGAACTGCAGACGAGGCAGCAGAAGCAGAAGAAGCTGCCTCCGCGACTCGACAACCAACCCAGCTGCAGCAAGGAGTGCGCTTCTTATTCGAAAGTAATTAGCATAAAAATAAATACCACTCATTAAGTCATGTTGTTTTTATCTATTTACCATTTGATATTACCGTCCTCATCGTCATCGCCATCGTCATCGTCGCTGCTGCTGCTGTCATTGTGTGTGTGTGCAGCCAGGTCCTTCTGGGTGTCCTTGTCGGTAGAGCTTCCCCACAGCATGGCCTTCTCGTGGTGCTCGTGCAACACGAGTAAGCTGGCACATGGCAGTGGATGTGGAAGTGGAAGTGTGAGTGGGGGAATTTGAATGGGTTGAGGACTCTCTGCTGGGACTCTGCTCTCGGGTTGTTTGCATTCACGCAGAGAGCTAGAACTAGTTCAATTAGCCAGTCAGGCAGCCAGTCAGCCAATGCCCAATGCCCAATGGAATGCTCAGCTTATCGATCTGCCTTCATAGGTAGCCAGCCCCCCACATTAGCTCGTTGTGGGGCTAGCTGGTAGCTGGAGGAGCATTCAACTGCTTTCGAGTATTCCCCCAAATGTCGGACACTTAAAGGTCGCGACCCCAGATGAACCCCAGAGGAACCCCAGATGAACCCCAGATGAACCCCAGCTAAACGCCAGATGAACCTTTCGCTGTAACATTTTTAAGTAATTTATTTTAAGTAATTTAAAGTTGGATCTGCACCTTGCGAGCAGTAGCCTGCCATGCGAATCAGTTTCATGGCCATTGGCTGCCATTGGCAGTGCATTGTATCTGCATCTGCATCTGCATCTGTCACTGACTTTCCGATGTATCTGCTGTAGCTGCATCGTGCAGATTGTCTCTCGTGGCAGCTTAAAGTTGGCCAAAAATTCGATTGGAATTTTAATTAGATGTGCGCTCTCTCTCTCGCTATCTCTGGCTCTCTTGCAACCAAAGAGCATAGAATAAAATATAAAATAGTACAAAGAAATTCAATGCACAGAAAAATCAGTCAAAGAAGCAGAAAGCTGTGAAAAGAAAGCAGTGAGAAGAAAGCAGTGAGAGAAAGCAGTGAAAAGAAAGCATAACTTGTGCTGCAGAGATGAGACGATAGGACGCTAAGGATATGGATCCCTAGCTGGACCCGTACCCACGTGTCTGTACAGTCGTAGGGACGTGGGGGAGGGGGCAGTGGCATGATAATGCTTTCCCCGATTTGCTCCCAGTACTTACTGTTGGCTTTGGCTTTGGCGTTGGTGCTGTGTGAGACAAAGCGCGATGTAGTTAGAGAATTCAATTAAATGTTCATCAAAAACTACAAGAAAAAGTGTTGGGCACACAGGCACACACACACACGAACAGGGGGGTAGAGAAACAAAGGACAATGACAAGGAGCAGGATGAGGTTGAGGATGAGTTTGAGGTTGAGGTTGAAAAAGCATCCCACGATGATGGGATGGCAACGCCTGTACTGTAACTGTAGCTCTTCGACTCTGACTCGGGGTCTGGGTCTGTAGCTGTGTCTGCTTCTCTATGTGTGTGTGTGTGTGTGTGTGTGTGTGTGTGTGTGTGTGTATCTGTATCTCTGACTGTGAATGTGACTTTGGTGCTGCTGTAATCAGCACAAGACTCGAGGTAAGCGGAGGCAGCAAGCGACAACGACAACGACGACGACGACTACGACGATGGGTAAACGGATGAGCATGGGGAAGAGGCAGAGCATGGCAGGAAGGGTGCTGGCACAAAAGTTATAAAATACCAGATAGATAGTAATTGTAACACAGTTCCTCCTCTACTCCTCTCCTCTGCTCCACGCCCCCTCCCACTGCTGTGTGTGTGTGTGTCTGTGGGTGTGGGGTGCAAAATAAGCAGGAAACTGGAAATTACAAATGATACGGAAATAATGCGATATCATGAATCATTTTTACGAGAATCGAGACTTTGATTCTCATGGGCAAATGATTGCTGCTGCTGAAGAGTCGAGAAAGGTTCAGGCCTTTCATACATACACACAGATATATATACATACATATATATATATGTACCCATGTACCTATGTATATGCATGTGCAACACCAATCTCTAGTATCTGGTCGTTGGTCTCTGCTGGCTCTCTGCTGGCTCTGCTCTGGGTCTGGGTCTCTCGTCTTTGGTCTGCTCTTTGGTCCTGCTGCTTCCTGTGACTCTGACTGTGGCTGTGGCCGGTCCTCGCTGCTGAGTTTGTGTCAACAAATTTGCATTGCATTGGGCGACCGACTGGCGGCGACCACACAAATAATGTCAACAGCATTTCCACTCATCAATAAGTGAAATACATATACAAAAAAAATAGGGGAAACGGGATCGGGAAACGGAAGGCTGCAGGGTAGATGCCCCATGCCGCATGCCGCATGCCCCATGCCTGAGACCCGGGCAACGGGATCGGTTGCCCGATTCCAACTGAAAGCTGGCATATTTATTTTCCTCGCCTCCGCCTCCACCCCTTTCGTCGTGCTGCCCTTTGTGCTGCTGTCGCATTCTTGATTTAGCAAATTGACTGCCATGAAAATGCGGAAAACTTGTGCAAAAGTTGCGAGCAGAGCGCTTGGAAAATTCGCTTAAAGCGGGGAATTCAACTGAAAGTTCTCTAACCAACAGAGAGGGAGCGAGAGAGAGGGAGAGGGTGCAATAGGCCATGAGAAATAAAACGTAGTTTGTGGAATCTTTTGGAGCTGGGAGCAAAGACCAGGAAGATGAGGCATCCAAACGATGATTGAAGACGACGGCAAAAATATCCAGGAAGTGAGCTCTTTAAGTGGAGTTCATTGCACAGAAGGACGGAGTCCACATTCCTCCTCTGCACCCACTCAATGTGCCAGGTCCCATGTCCCATGTCCCATATCCAGGTACAGGCACAGGCACAGACACAGGTCCCATGTCAGCGGCTCCGTGTCAAGTGTCAATTGCCTGACATTCGATGCGCCACCTACCCGGGAGTCAACCTTGGCCCCAAGTCTTAGTCTCCAAATGCTAATGAACTTGGGTAATAAGTCCTGGCCGACACGCCCATTCGGGCACAGCGCAGCGCAGCACAGCAGAGCAGAGCAGAGCTCAGGTGTCAGACTGGGTGGGGGGTGTGGTAGGGAGGGGGACAGTGGGACAGTGCCTGGCGCCACGTTTAACAATTTGCAGCCTTAAT